GTTCCCTACAAAAAATAAATAAAAGAACGCTGGTGAGTGCAAACCGTCTGGTGCTTGAGTCGATGCGCAGTCGTTACAATATGAAACTCTGAAGGAATACTTACTAAAAACATTCAAACTGTCTGACGCTGAAAGAGCCAATAGGCTTTTGTCTCTTCAAGGGCTCGGTGATAACAAGCCCTCAGAGCTAATGGACCGAATGCTTGATCTGCTTGGGGACAACAAGCCAGATTTCCTTTTCCTCCAACTTTTCCTGCGCCAACTGCCTGCTCATGTGAGAGCTGCTTTGGCCAACACTGCCAGCACGGATTGAAGAGTACTGGCTGCAGAGGCTGATAAGTGTTTCCTGGCCAGTCAGCAGCCCTGCGCAGCGGCACTCCTCCCTGCTGGTGCTGTTTCTGACGTACCAGATGACTGCAGGCTCGTTGCAGCAGCAGCCCAACATCACCAGCAGTCTTCAGGTGTGTGCTTCTACCATGCCAGGTTTGGCCCCAAGGCCAAGGGCTGCCGCTCTCCATGCAGTTTCGGTGGAGTGGGAAACGCCAAGGCCGGCGCTCACRAGTGGCCGTGAGCGTCGGCCATGCCGGCAGGCTGCTCTTCATCCACGACTCCATCTCCGGCCGGCATTCCTCTGCGATACAGAAGCACAGCGAAGTCTACTGCCTGCTTCACAAGTGGATGTAGTGGCTGACACCCACGGCKCCCCCATGGAAGCCGCTAACGGCAACCCCATCCGTACGTTTGGCACGAGGCATGTTGAACTGTGTTTTGGGGGCCAACGCTTTGGCTGGGACTTTGTAACTGCCAAAGTCACTGTTCCCCTCTTAGGATCAGATTTTTTGTGTGCTTATGGACTGTTGGTGGACGTCAAAAATCAGCGCTTGATTGATGCCTTCACTTTCTGTTRTTATGCCTGCGCGCTCAGCGACTCTAGCGCAGTACACCTCTCCAGCCTGCTCTCGGTCACAAACAGTTTCCAGTGTCTGCTCGCCAAGTTCCCAGCGCTCACGCAGCCCACTTTCTCCTCTTCCACAGCCAAGCACGGTGTCGAGCACCACATTGACACCACTGGCCCTCCTGTATACGCCCGCACTCGACATCTCGGGCCAAACAAGCTCGCCGTAGCCAAGACTGAGTTCGAGTCCATGGAACGCCTGGGGATTGTRCGACGCTCCAACAGCCCTTGGGCCTCCCCCCTGCACCTCYTCCCCAAACCGGGTGGGGGCTGGCATCCTTGCAGGGACTACCGGCGGCTCAACGATGCAACAACTCCTGACCGCTACCCAGTGCCGCACATCCAGGATTTTTCAGCGCACCTGGCGGGTAAGGTCATTTTTTCTAAGGTGGACCTGATCAGAGGGTACCATCAGGTGCCAGTTCACCCTCTCGACATCCCAAAAACAGCTATCATCATGCCGTTTGGTTTGTTTGAGTTCCTGCGCACACCGTTTAGCCTCAAGAATGCTACTCAAACTTACCAGCGGCTCATGGACTCTGTGTTACGGGATCTGCCTTTCCTGTTTGTGTATCTTGACGACATCCTGGTGGCCAGTTCATCACCTTCAGAGCACCTTTCGCACCTTCGCACTCTGTTTGAGCGGCTTCCCGAACATGGGCTCATCATCAATCCAACTAAATGTGAGTTTGGCCTGTCTATTATAGACTTTCTGGGGCACAGAGTCACAAAGGACGGGATCCTCCCTCTTCCATCAAAAGTGGAGGCCATCACCACTTTTCCACCCCCAGTCACCATCAAAGCCTTACAGGAGTTCTTAGGCATGGTCAACTTCTACCACCGTTTCCTCCCCAAGGCCGCCAAAACCATGCAACCCTTGTACGAGGCTCTGAAGGGCCGAAAGCCCAAGCACACTGTGGACTGGAGCCCAGAAAGACACAAGGCTTTTGTGGACGCTAAGACAGCCCTGGCTAAGGCCACCATGTTGGCCCATCCCACCTACTCCACCCCAATCGCACTGACCACGGATGCCTCAGACTACGCAGTCGGTGCGGTTTATGAGCAGTGGGTGGGTAACGCTTGGCAGCCTCTCGCCTTTTTCAGCAGGCAATTGTGTCCCAGTGAACGGAAGTATAGCACCTTCGACCAGGAGCTACTTGGAGTGTATCTTGCCATCCGACACTTTCGTTCACTGCTGGAGGGACGCCAATTCACTGTCTTTGTGGACCACAAGCCACTAACTTTTGCCATGTCCAAAGTCACTCAGCCATGGTCTGGCAGGCAACAGCGGCAACTAGCTTATATTTCTGAGTTCACGACGGACATTACACACCTTTCTGGGAAACACAACCATGTCGCAGACTGTCTTTCCCGTGCTGTTGCAGGAGCAGTCCACCTCGGCCTAGACTACGACAGCATGGCAGCAGAGCAGGCCACAGACCCAGACATGCAGACTTTCCGTTCATCCACTACTGGGCTGCAGCTGCAGGATGTGATGTTCAACGAGGCTGGCACCACTCTGCTTTGTGACATATCCACGGGGTGTCCTAGGCCTGTTGTYCCTGCGAAGTGGAGGCGTCCTGTGTTTGACGCCATCCATGGCCTTTCACACCCTGGCACCAAGGCCTCACAACGGCTGGTGGCAGCCAAGTTTGTATGGCCCAGACTTAAAAAGGACGTGAGGGACTGGGCGAACACCTGTGTGGCGTGCGAACGTGCC